CTATTCTATATAACAATACAATAGTTATATATATATATATATATATATACACACACACACACGCTTGGAGATTTGACCCTTGCTCGCCATCCATATTTTGATTCCACAGGATAACAAGGATCTTTATGCTGAGGAGACTGCAGCACAAAGAGAAAGGGAACGCCAGAGAATGTTGTCGATTCCTGGAATGATTGCCCCTAGTGAGCTGCAGGATGAGATGGTAGATTCATAAGTTCTGGTGGCTTTGCAGGCACTAATTCCACAGATTCTTTTTTCTTGTTTCCTAATTCCAGTGGGTGCCTCGCATCGTTTGGCCGATTTCCTGCCACAGATGGTCGAGGCTTTCTCAATTTCTAATTTGATATACACCCCCTCTACTGATTTGCTTTGCTGGGAAGATAAGAAGGCAGTTGTCTGTCAAGAGAGAGCTATTTGGACTGCGGGTGATACTTACAGGTCTGTAACTAATGCCTTGTTGGAGTGGCTGCAGCTTCTTGGCAGAATGTATTTGCTGGTATGGGGGAGAATAGTGTTGTAGCAGCAACAGCAGCAGCTTGTCGTACCTATTTGGTGATAGGTGGGAGTCGATGATGTGTCATCAACCATAGTGCCATACAGTGTGTTTTGGATTTGGCCCTTTGTAATCAAGAGGAGCATCATTCTTAAGTCTCATCATTTCAACTTGGGATAGGTTTCTTTCCTCCCTTTTGTTATTAGTCTACATACATTTTATCTATCTGTCTCTATATATATATCCTTGTGTTGACATGCAGTAAAACCTAGTGCGTGCTGTTGCTGATTAGTACAGTACATTGTCAACTTGTGAGGGCTACGGTTAAATCCTAAATTGAAAGGTAAGAGACTATGGAATCGTTGGCAATTAATCTTTTTCTTAGTAGTTAGTAAGTGATTTTAATGTGTATGAAATGATGCTAATGACATGTGCAACAATGTCGGAATATCTTGTTTTCTGGGTGGTATATGATGGTGTTTTTTCTCCGCAATTTTGCTGCAGTAATGTTCAACACTATCTTGAACATAAATAATTGTGAAAATAATGATGGGCTGTAGGATTTTGATTCTACGTCGATGTTTTTTAACGTCCTTAAAATAAAGAAGCAAAACATAAGGTTTTCTTTCGATGCGAGATAAAGAGCTCGGTGACGAAAGATGTGGTGGGTTAGAGGTCTTGGCCTTCTCCTATTACGCAAGAACTTGGGAGATTAATGCTTCTGGTGCTGTTAGGATGTGACGTGGCCAATGTCGCAGATGTGGTAGAGAGAGAGAGAGAGAGAGAGAGAGTCTTATAAGAGCCCGCACAACTATAATCAAATAACGCTAGCACGCTCTCCTCGGGCTTCGAAAGGCTACACTTCCCTCCTATTCGCTTTATGGAAGTCGGTGCGATCCAAGGGTTTCCAATTCAGGTTTTCTTTAATCGTCCTTTGGAAGGGTTTTCGATTTTGCTCGTGTTTCTTTGGCGATTTCTCCTGGAATTGATCGCAGGAAACGTCTGCAATTGGCGACGGCGAAAGATCGGAGGGTGTGCCTCTTCGCTGAAGACGACAGAGTTCGAGGTCCGGAAAGGTACGATCTTCTCGGTTTTGTCTTTCTATTAGTCGTATCGCTTGAAAACCCTGAGTCTCGATTAACAGAACCCATCGTCTTTGCCATCGTCTTGATTAGCTTATCCATGTTTTGCTGGGTTCTTTGCTTATTATTGGATTTGGTTTGAGCTGTGACGGTGTATTGAAAGTCTTTGTTTGAGACCTACCTCTGTCTCTCATTTTATTTTTGAAAGCCTGCTATACATGAGTCGATTTTATCTGTGAACTCGGTCTCATTTTTATTTTGCAACGTGAGGCGATTCATTCTCATCTTTGTGTGCTCTATCATCTCCCTCGTGACTCATTCATCATGTTTGTTTCCTAATTTTGTTACAACATTTTGTTTTTCCCTTTTGTATTTGCATTTGCTCCCCCCTTAAACCATTCCTAGTGTGCCAAAACAAAAAGGAGAACAAATAAGTGCATTTACATCTCCAACATTAAAAAAAAATAAGAGGCAACAAATGGATCAAGCTTGTCCAAAAATTCGCATGCCATGCCATGCCAGAACAAGATTCCTACATGACATCGACCAATATGTTTCTAATTTGAAACAAACAAATCAAGACAACCTTGAAAACATCAACTAGAATCTTCCAACAAGCGATGAAGCAAGATTTGTTTTCCCAGTACAAAATGGATGGATCAAGGCTCGTTATTCACAATGATATAGCCTGTCAAAATTATTTCAAGTGCTAACAGAAAAAGGCTATGTTTTGTAAGTTTTTATCATCCCTGCTACTCTAATTTGGCCTCTTCCTTTTTTGGTGGATCCAGTTGCAAGTAGTAGAAAGGTTCCGTTGGCTCCTCCCTGCAAATCAATAGGATAAATAAATGAAACAATACAAGCAAGGTTTTAAATCTCGATCTGGTATCAATCTATCGCATCAATATAATACGGGTGTACTAGATGGTATACCAATCCATTCTATCAAAAAAATTAATGAAAAAAATAATACCAATTGGCAAACACCGGTTAGTTAGTATATGGCCCCATACCATTGTTTGGAGTTTCTACATAAGAAACAGGCTTTCAACTGTGAGCACTATATGAGTTTGTTTACTGAAGTCAGGCATAGAAACAGAATCAGCTTACATAGAACAGCTACTACAGTTAAAGATGATGCATTATGATCATTATTACATTATCAGGGTGAAAACACTTCTAAAAGGAATTGCGCATGATATTATTGGGTCTTCATCTGCGACGGATGATGATGCTTGATATCACACTGAATAAAAACTCATTTAATTTCTGATTAGATTTCATGGTGTTTCCACCTTGTAATGTTACGGTCAGCTCTATGTTCGATCATTCGCTGAAGTTGAACTCTATGGACTTCAAAGCGTAATCTCGGATCATCCGAAGAAAATGCTCTTTGTTGACGAAAAAAAAAGGACAAGAGGGCATATCATGTAGAACAGAAGATATGTTGGCAGGAGAAACAGAAAATTAGCTACAAGAATGAAGTCTGGGCTATTGGCGTCACCCATGTCGGATACAAGTTGCTACCAGGCAACCAAAATAAGTGAAAGCTGAACAGTCCAAATTGGTCAAGTAAAAGCCCAAGGTATAATAAGAACAGTCTGAGAGATACACAGTACCCGGGCTTAGATCGCATGCATTGCCAGAAGAGCTTGAAAGGGCCCGGAACTTTTTTTAATGGATTTCCTTCAAACAAAGCCTGCAAAAAGCATCAGGCAAGCACAATTATTGAACATTTAAGACTTTCATCCTCAAGTATATAAAACTCTAGATAGCGATGGATGATAAATTACAGACGAACAAAGGGTAAAAGGTTTGGTTCTTTTGACTATATATATTCTAGACATATATATTCTGCCATCAAGATATAATTTTTGACTTCTAAAATAAAGAAAAGTAAACGTCCTACATGATCAATCAAACAAAATGAACAAGAAAGAGAAGGCTTTTGGCATGAAACCAACTATAGATCAGATGAAACAGAGTAACAGTAGCTTCTTTTGAAGATGTCAAAAAAAGGAAAACCTGGATAACATCCTCTGCACGATCATTGCATCTGTGTGCCACAGGCTGTCGTGTGTCACCTTCAGGTAAACCCCAGGGGCTTTCTCTCCTTGGCACAGGCCTAGTGCTCATTCTTTTCTCTTTTAATCAGTATCCAAATCACCTCCACCTTTTGAGTCACACAGCAGTAAAATCAACTTAATCAAATCTAGAATTTTAACAAACTAAGCACTATAGACAAGTGAACAAACAACAAGATTAATATTTTTGGTTTAAAAAAGTAGCAAATATCACATCCTTCTTTGGGAAAAGTTCCAGATACATAAGATTATTTAAAAAAATCAAGCATAGAACAAGACAGATCACAGAGAGAAAATCTTGAAACAAAGAATCAGGCAAGGATAAGGAAGGTGATTTTGTGATTTTCAACAATGAAAAATAAGTGAAGAGCCAAATAAGGTGAAAGGGAGAGACGTGTTCCTCTTCCTTGTGCCATCTCTAATCTGCAACCATTATGAAGTGCTTGCCCATTTTGCTTCTTGATGGTTTATCAGATAGTTTTCTTAAATTGGCTTGTGATAAGATAGAAATGGTCACCAATGGCTTGTCAGCTTGTCACTGTGGGGTTATCAGATCATCAAAAATGCATTTCAAGAGGAACAAAACCAAATCTATGTAACTCTTCCCACCTGGGAAGAGAACCTGGAGTTGGTCTGCCAATCCTAGATGTGCCCCAAAACAATACATGGTGCACCACTCAGAATACAGGTTGGATGATGCTAAGCTTGCACTAGGCCTAAATGCACTCAAGCTGGAGTGCAACAAACAGACATCGAGAGCAATGTGGATGCAAGTGCAACCAATTATTTTTTTTCCAAGAAAAAGAGTAAACATATTAATCCAAAAGCGGTTACAACCTGTGCTCAGGAGATCAGCACACAAAAACAAAAAAGCATGGGGATCCTTCACCATGCCATACAAAAGAAGTTCTATCGGTTCTAGTAGACTTTGCCAACCGATTTGCACAGTTGTTCCCCTCCCTAAACACATGGGAGAGCCTGCAGTGAGAGAAATCAGCTAAGATATGTAAAATGTCCTGAACAAGATTGGCTGCTTGCCAAGGAGGGGAAGTTTGTTTCTCCAAGATCTTAATGGCCAGTTCAGCATCTGCCTCCATGATAATGCTCAAAACCCCTTTCCGTCTTGCATGAATCAGCCCTGCCTTCATAGCAACCAGCTTGTGGATGCAACCAATTATTATTGGCTCGATCTATTGCTAACAATGTTCCAAGGATGATGTAGATACAAAATGTTGCTGTAAATTAGACTGTTTTGGATGCAGAAGAGTCAAGTGGCCAATTGAACATCTCAAAGAAGTATTCTCAATGGTAATATTGAACTTCAAATTAATTTGTTTTTCGAACCATTATGGCCTGTTTGTCTCCAAGAAATTGGGACTTTTTAGGTAGCCAGTCATTGCATTTCTTTCCTGATAATTGACTGTAACAGTTTAGGAAGCATGCATGCCCACTCACTGATCTCCAAGTGTCGTTTGAAAACTTGCTGTACACACTGCCGTCTAGTTTTCTAATCCTTGTTGTCCTTTTTCTACCTTCTAACTTATTTTCTTTACTCTAATACTTTACTCGATTCCTCCAATCTATATTTTCTGTTAGCCCAAACTATCTTATCTGAATAGGAACGATCTAACAGGAGAATCAAATTACAAGAACATAAACTCAAACCAAATGGGAAAGTGATAGTGATAAAAATGCAAGAGTAACCAAGAGATAGAACTCATCGAGTCACCATCTAACTCAAACTATTTTGGAATGTGAAGCAACATATGTAAGACTCAAACCTCAATTTCATGATCTCCGATCTTCTATAAATGTATTGAATCACCATTCAACTTAACTCTGATAACCCGAAGCAACAAATATAACGCTCAAACTCAATTTCACGATCTTTGATCTTCTATGGTTGTCTTCAAAATCTTTCGAATTAAGCTTGTGTCTTGAAACTCATTTTATCAGCTCCTGTAGTTTGACGGGTGCTAGATGCTCATTAGAAGTACCCAAACGCTTCACCAAGAAGATTAATGACCAAGCCATATTATTCTTCTTTGATAAATGATTTTCTATATAAACAACTAGTTAAAAACTGTGGCAAACCTCTTATGCCTTTCTCAACCAGCCTAAATCCTGTACTTGATTTACTCTAGGGCAGATCAATTATCCAGCAGATAAAAATAAGAATCACTATTAGTAAACGCCATTACTGTAACTTACACATACCAAAAACTCACAGCAAAAATTACCACAGAAATCATGTAAAGCATGGAACCCTATGTAGATCTCCTTTATGACACGAGTCATCGATTCATCAGATAAGCCGGCAAAGTATTTGCAAGAACGTAGCAATAATTAATTAGGAAATCCATTAAACACATATTGCTTGAAACTAATTTTGACTCAAGATCATTCGGTGCCTATTTCATCATAGATCGTTGGAAACCACACATAGTATGATGCTACTAGTCTAGTGATCTTTTAGGGCTGCAAACATGAAAGGAGAGTACCGAAGAACCTAAGGGAGAAGAACCAAGAAGAGAGAGAAGGGTTCCGAACTCTTGCGCGTACCTGCGAGCTTCGAGATGGCGATGGTCTTTGAGAGGGGGGCTAGGGATTTGCGGGTTTGTGTCGTCCCGTAACCCAACACTGAACCGAGTCGGAGCAGGTTCAATTTACTGGACCGAGCCGAACACGTGTCTCCGGTCCGGTTTAACGTAGGATTTATTATTCCATCTGCTGCTGCCAACGCCATTCGTAACGACCGCGGATTGTCTTCCTTCTAGAAGAAGATGCTGTCGTCAGAAGGATACGAAGATGACGCAACTGATGTTACGTCACTAAGTCTTATCCATTCATTATGGTCCGTTGGATTGGGGTTTTACGATCGCGTTTCCGGCTCGCACTCGCACCGTTGTCTATAAAATGCCGAAGATTGATGAAGGCCTTCGCGGGCTCGCCCACCCATCATCGGGTTCGACCTCGGCGCACCTGGTGCGGTGTGTGGCTTCTTCTCAGACCTCGTCGGCCATGGCTGATCTCCCGTCCAAGGTCGCCTCCTACGGTCTCTTGCTCATCGTGCTTGCCCTTGCGCCCGCCATGGTCAACCCGATCGGCGACGGGCGGAGGGCTGACACTTCCGCGGCCGCTTGCCTGGGCCTACTCTTCGTCCTCCTCCTCGGCACAGGGCTAGTGATGCTCAGCGTGTGGCTCCGCGACTCGCAAGACCCGACCGGCAACCCGCTGCTGGCCGACGCCGATCGCCCGACGGTTGGACCAGGATCCGGTGTACCAAGCGATTAAAACACCGTGACGATGACGACGACAACGACCACCAGATTACTATATATATATATATATATAAGATAAGGTGGTTATTCTACATATTAGCATATGTTGATTTGGCATTAGAAGTTTATTTATGTTTGACTTTTATGTTCTTTGTCGATAGTACCTGAAAGAACTCATGACAATAGCTTCAAAAGATCGTTAGAGCATATATGAGCAGAAAATTTTTGGAGCATAAGGAACCAAGATATAATTAGTTCACTAGTGAGCACAACAATAATACGAGCATGCAGCTCATCACATTTAACAAAGTAGCAAATGGGTCAATAATCCCCTATTTATGTGCATTTACAGGGAGATCTGCCACTTATAACTTGCGCTGATCCAAGAAAAGACATTCACTGGTTAACAACACATCATTGAGAATAGTAATCATGTTTTTAGAACTAACAACGAAATCAAGCTAGAATCCTTGGCATAACCTAGAGCCCAAAGAGTGTCGGCTTGATCGGCCATTAGCCTAGGCAGCAGGTGGATATTTATCAGCATCCTGCGATGTATCGATATCGGAAGGCGCCATGAATTGCCACATTGGGAAGCCAGGGTAACCGATGATGGGTATCATTAGCTTCTGTGCCGCAGCTTGACCTTTTGCTGTGAAGGGGGTCGCTATTACAGGTGGTGGGTGAGAAACATAGCTCGATCTGAGTTTTATTTGCTGCTCCAGACTCTCATTCTCTGCCTTCAGCTTCTGCTTCTCATCACGAAGCTCATTCTTCTCAGCCTGAAGAGCAATAAAATGTAATTAGATAACAGGTCGACAACTCATGCTAGAAAAGAAAAAAAAATGGAACAGCAAAGTTCCATAATGCTTGAAAAAGACACCTACTTTTTTTTCCCAAAATTATTGCATTTAATTGAAGCAAATGCATCTATGTTAGCCTTCTAAATAATCTCAACATCACATAGATCTTAATCTGATACAATACAAGCACAGTCATGAGAGATGAAGACACAAACTACATATATCTAACAATAGTAATACCAAAGGAAAATCTAAGCCACCTTTAATTCATTTATCTTCTCTTGGAGAATTTCATTTGACTCTTTAAGCTTTTCTGTCTCACTGCGCAGTTGAGTCAACACACGAACAGCATCACTTAGGATAGCAGCTTTGTCCAATTTTGATAACTTTCCAGGTTCAAGAAGAGAGCCCAATTCCAGGAATCTTAAATCAAAAACAAAAATAAAAGCCTTGAGGTCATCTTGATGCATGAGGAAAAAGTACCATATTTAGCATCACTGCTGGTTCACACATAATAAATCAGATATCGCACCTGTCATTCAACCTGTCCCTTCTCATTTTTTCTCTACAAGCTTTGGCGGGTGTACTACAGGTTTCTGACCTCTTACTGCAATAAAGCTTTCTGGTCTCAAAAACTGATCAACAAAAATGCATATGAAGTAACAATAATATCCTAAGTTTCACTTATAAGATCAAATTTCGACCGCTTTCCAGTGACTGGTTCTGTGAGGCCATTGGAGTCTGAAAAGGAGCTGTCAATCATGGCAACAGGCAGAAGAAATATGCTTGTTAGAACTTTGAAAAAAAAAAAGAATTTGAATAGAAGAATCACTGAAGATATCCAAAGAATAAAAATGCATAATATACAATACTTAAGTTAAAATCATAGAAAAATGACAAAAATTAAAAACCATAGCAGCTTCCAAATGATTCATACAAACCATAAGAATGTGATCGATGACTACGATGCAAAGTACTGATTTTTGCTGAAAGAATTATGAAGATTCTCAAAACCATTTCCACTATATTGACACCCAAGACCAAATAATGCAATGCCCTGAAGGATCTTCAGCTCCAAGGTCCTTATGGAACACATAAAATCTAGTAGTCTAAATTTACAGAAAATATGAACCATGGTGATTAATCTAAGACAAGTCCTTAAGTGTGTTTACGTATGCCCCAACATACTTTTATGATTTTAAGTATCCATCTAAATCCAAATGATCCTCTCCAATATGGAATTTTCATGTCATCTTTTATGATTGTCAGTATCTGTATGAATAATTTGCCTAATTCTCATGAACCAGAGCCACCGCACTATCCAATGGGATTTATTAGTCAGATACTCATTTGAATTTTAATAGGAATCTTTTAATGGATCATTAGTCAACAGATAGAGTGGTTATTATCATACGATGTAGAGTACGAACCCTGTGGACTATCAATGAACAATACGATTCTGAAAAGATTAACCATACATATATTGAAATTTACCCCACTGATACGATCCAGTCATAAAGCACATATTGGTTAGAAAGGGATAGATTGGACTAAATTGATGAAATGAGTCATCTCAGCTATTTAATGATAAAATGATTTGTTGGATTGCTCCTAAGCAATGTATGCATTAATTATAAAGAGCTTGCTTTAGCAATCATCACAAGATAAAGTAGATCAAACTTATCTTGGCACAAGTCAATTCGATGACAAATCAAAGAAACTGAATTGGAAACTTGAAGTGTGAATTGGACAGAGTGGTCATGTAAGATGGCATAGTCAGCTCTAAGGTGTGGGCACAGTTTGCATGGCAGAATCAAAGCTTTTTCCTCACTTGTTATGAGGCAATAAAAGAAATTTTTTTATGCAATTTGTTTCTTTGTCTACTTCCAATATTAAAGTATAGTACAAACCTTAAAACATCCAACTTTTCTCTAAATTCATGCAGCATATGCATGGTTTACTCCTTCCTTAATTATGTTGTGTCCTTTTCGGAAGTTGTGGGAAATTTCTTGTTTTGAGCATATAGACTAGTAATAGCATTTGGTTGTTCTTCTCGATGGATGGACCACTTCTGTTCTTCTAGCTCTGTTAATGTCTGCAGGTTATGCAAAGATTTTAATCAAAAACTTCACCCAGATCAGCATGGGACACGTTCAAAAAGTCCTCTGCGACTACAAATAAAATATTTCCTATTCCATGTGTTGCATAGAACATTTCCTATTCCATGAGTTTCCGAAACACCTTAACTTGGTAGCATCTGATAAATTAAATCTACACAATGAAGAGATAATACTCTCTGTGATGCATATAGTACATCTCACCACCATCCAGGAAAAAGTCAATCGAGTTTCGACTTTTCAAGTTATCCTATTTAAGGCCCATAAAATGCAATAAGTGTTATACAGCACCTAAACAAAGTTTTCATCTTTCTATGACCAAATTACAAGATGATCAATATGTCTTCTCACTAACTTGCATCTTGCTCAACCCCCTCTTAGATCAGTGTAGAAGAGTGAAGATTCACCGTACAAATCACTCTCTTCTATTATGTAGATACCAAATATAGATTGCAATTGAATAGGCAAAATCAACAAACCCAACATCCACATGCTACGTGATCGATCGAAACAATATTCCCACCCTAATCCACTCCGTAAGGTTTTCTCGCTACATATATCCACAATACTACCAATGATCATAGCAACTCTCAATATCATACTATGATTCAATAAAACACTAACCTTAGAAGATCAAAAGTAACTACATGCATCAAACATTAACAGATCAAGAAAGAAGAAACAAAGCCGCAACTTTAGGAGACACCAGCTCTCCAGTTCATCCAAGAAGAGTGTTAGACAGTTCTCGACGACAACCGCAACGAGATCCCAAAGTATCGGATTCGAAATCACCTGAAGGAAATATTGAATCCCGGGGGAGCCCAGCAAAAGCCGCCGTTGACCCCCGCGAGATCGCCCTCGGAGGCGTGCATGTCGCCGATCAAGTCATCCAAGAACCAAGCAGGGCTTTCGGACGAACCCATCACCGATACTCGTCGGAACCCTCGCGGCCGGCGCTCGTTGGCGGATTCAGGGAACGGTTCGCCGTCGGGAGATCAATGGGTTTCCCTCTCGCCTTTCTCTTTCCGCCCTTTTACCGGCCTCGAACGTTAATGAAGTAACAGAGGAATACTTTCCTTACAGACTCCCAACGCAACGTCCCTCGAACCTCACCAGCCTTGTTATCGGACAACTTGCAGCGCACTGTGGGGCCCAAATGAACTCCCATCTCAGTCTCCAGCCACCGTGGGTAGCAATTCAGTACAAAATAAGAACAAGACAGATTAGAGATAAATAAATGGGGTGGACTTGTGATGATAGATAAGATTGTGAATTTTAATATACTATCATGATATTTTATTTTTCATATATAGCTGTGATTTTAGATTTGGTTTCATTGAAGAATAAAATAATATGACATTATTTTTAGAATCATTTTAATGTTCAAAGAGAACATATTATATATTATTATAAAAATAAAAATAAATTTATTATATCAAATAACATATATAACGTTTATTTATAAGTGGACGACGTATCACTTATACAATAATACACTAACCAACTCAGATGTTTTAATAGAAATAAATTATATATCTTTTTAATACATTTGTGTTTTTAGTGATTTAGATCATAACGATCGATCGATTATATCTATTATGTTTAGTTAAAATTAAAATTCTTAGAGTTGTAAATTAAGTACTTATTTTTACTCAAACCTAATCTAAAATTTCATCCAAGGATATCCAAATCAGTCTAAAGGAAACAGTATTGCTCATCAAATTCTGAGGGATTGGGATCAGCTCATTTGTATGATAACAGTGGAGTGCTTACTATTAAAGAACAGTAGTGGCATTAGAAATTGGCATCTTGTGTTGTCTACTGACAGGGAGCAGATAAAGATTCCAAATAGGAGCAGCAACCACACATGAGTGTCAGGGAAGAACATGCAGACAAAGGCTACAGCCACTCCACTTCTCAGATACAAGGAGAAAGAAAGAGGACATTGCTGTAGCTTCATGTTCTTCTTTCTCTCTCTCTCTCTCTCTCTCTCTCTCTTCAGAATATGATATTAATGGGCAAAATATGACCACTTCCAACAACAGCTCTCTCTCTCATCCTGCAGTGGTGTGTACTTGTGTTCTTCTTTGCAGGCATGAACTCTTGTGACATCTCTTTTTTCTGTGGTCTGTGTGATCCAAGCATTACTTCATGTCAGGCAACGACTCCAAGCCTCTGATGTCATCCATGGATGGTGACTCCGAAAAGAGAAATCTTATCCGGTGGTGATGAAAATAAAGAATTAAGAAAAAAGAATGATAATTGTAGTGCATTATGTTTCATTAATTAACAGTGAGCATAAAAACTTAGCCTTTTAATCCTTTTCTTGAGCCTAAATCAAATAGTTAAGGATAGGAAGAAAGAGCGAGAAGAGATGATCAATATTGTGAATAATTCCCCCACATGAATTTATTCCAATCATCCCAAATTAATCTCGAGTTCCAAATGTTAAGAACAAGGAAAAGAAGATTACCTAATAGCCTTCATGAGTTCCTTCCCCCCCCAAAAAAACAAAAGAAATTGAAAGAAAATTACTATTAAAATAAGAAAAAAGAAACCAAGTAATGAAAGGTAAGTCTAAGGTGGTTCAGCGGTCTATTTGTCCTCTATGCATGGGCCGGGCCGAGCGCTTGGTAAACCGGACTTGGTGGGCCGAAGCTGACAAGCGGCGGCGCGGCCGTGGAACTGGCCGGCGGGGGAACGTCGGTGGCGGTGGCTGTGGGCGGCGCAGGCGGCAGGATTACGGTCGGTGGCGGCGTGGTGGGCGGCGTGGGAACGTCGGTGGCAGCGGGCGGCGGAGGCGGCACGGGGATCGTGCCCGCGGGAATGGCGGCCGCGGGGAAGGGTGGGGCCGTGGAGGCGGTGGCGGTGTCGGCGGGAATGGGGTCGGGGAAGATGGGCCGGCATCCGGCGACGGTCAACGACGATGACTGGCAAGGCTGGGCGGCGGCCTTGTGTGCCCAGCCGTGCCGGACGAGGCCGAAGCCGACGACGAGGCCCACCACCATGAGCGCCCCTACGAGGAAGAAGAAGATCTTGGTCGCTTTCCCTACGTAACACATCCTCCTCTCTTATCTCCTTCAGAGGTTTCAGACCATGGAAATCACAAGAAGAAGAAGAAGAGAGAGAGAGAGAGAGGA